GAGTGGGAGCGCTGCAAGCGGCTGGGCGACGACGCCTGCCGCCAGGGAAATTGGACCCGCGCGCTGGAGCTTTACGGGGAGGCGCTGGAGGCGCGCGCGTTCCGGCAGCCTGTGCCGCGCCCCGGCCGGGGGAGGAGGAGGAGGAGGAGGAGGAGGAGGAGGAGGAGGAGGAGGAGGAGGAGGAGGAGGAGGAGGAGGAGGAGGAGGAGGAGGGAGGAGGAGGAGGAGGAGGAGTAGGAGAAAGAGCAGGAGGAGGAGGAGGATGAGGAGGAGGAGGAGGGGGAGGAAGAGGAAGAGGAGGATGAAGAGGAGGAGGAGGAGGAGGAGGAGGAGGAGGAGGAGGGGGGGAGGAGGAGGTGGAGGAGGAGGAGGAGGAGGAGGAGGAACGCGCCGAGTCCGCTGGCCGGTCGGCCAGAAGCCCCTCTGGGGGCAGCGCGGGTGGGATGGGGCCCGCTCACTGCACTTGCTGGACGAAGGCGCGTGTCCCAAACGGAGTCGGAGTAGAGATGGGAAGGGACCAAGAGTCGGAAAGAAAATAAGAGATGGACCTAGGAACCTGGGACCGTGAGCCGGAGTCGGAATTTCCGACTCCGACTCACGTCTTTCCGAAAGACGGGAGCTGGAATCGGAGCCGGGGTCGGGGAGACGGGCTAGGAATTCGAGTCGGAGAAACAGGAATCGCTGCTGGAGTCGGAAAGGTGGACGCCGAAATTGGAAACGGAGTCGTAAATATGGGACGGGAGCTGGAGTCGTAAAGTCAGGAGACGAAGCCAGCCGGGGGATGGGCAGCAGCAACAGGTCACCCGGACGTTGCGATCCGGGCGTAGAGGGAGGAGGAGGAGGAGGAGGAGGATGAGGAGGAGGACGAGGACGAGGACGAGGACGAGGACGAGGAGGAGAAGGAAAAGGAACAGGAGGAGGCGGAGGAGGAGGAGGACGATGACGGGGGAGAGGAGGAGGAGGAGGAGGAGGAGGAGGAGGAGGAGGAGGAGGAGGAGGGGGGAGGAGGAGGAGGAGGAGGAGGGAGCGGAAAAGGAGGAGGATGAGGAGGACGAGGAGGACGAGGAGGAGGAGGAGGAGGAGGAGTAGGAGGAGGAGGAGGTGGAGGAGGAGGAGGAGGGGGAGGAGGAGGAGGAGGAGGAGGAGGAGGGGACATGAAAATTCATGGGTAGCTCGGCCAGTCTCGTTTCGCTTCCTCCTCCCCTCATGCCTCCTCCTACGCCTGCCCTCTTCCTTCTCTTGACCTCATGGTCTTCGTGTTCGTACTTTCTTCGCCCTTCTCGGTATCGCCTTTCTTCCTCCTCATTCTCCGCCTCCCCCCCTCCTCGGGATCATCGTCCTCCTCTTCTTCCTTCTCATCCTCTCCCCCATCGTGGTCCTCGTTTTCCTCCTCCCCGATGACGGGTCTACTCCCCCTGCTCCTCGGGATCATCTTCCTCCTCTTGTTCCTCCTCCCCCTCCTCCCTCCCTCCTCGTCCTCGTTTTCTACTTCCTTCTGGAGGATTGGCCGCACATTAAAAGACATATAGGGTTTGGGAATCTCCAAAGATCATGGAGGCGCCCTTGGGCCTCTTGGACTCCTCTTGGGACTCTCTTTTGGCCCTCGGGGTCATCCCAGTGTCCTTGGGAGCCTTCAAAGCACTCCGAGCGGGCTCCCAAAGGGCCCACCCACTGACAAGTTCAGAGAAGCTCAGCGAGATTTGGTGTTCAACACCGGCTCAAGAAGAAACAAACATTAATCCACATATGGTTACGAAGCTCCAACGTTGTTCAACGCGCCGGCAGCGAAGTGGGTTTCAAAGTACAAGAACTGCGTAGCGCAAACACAAACATGCGCTGGAAACGCCGTGGTGGCATTCTCGCGACAACACTTGCATTAATATTGTGGCAGGTAATGGGTTTGCGACAAAAGTACAACAATCATTGTGCGGACATAGAACAATCCTTGAACCACATTGCCAACACCGCGCGTTCGCAGGCAAACATCGAATCACACGAACGCGAAGATAATGTGTGATAAACCAGCGAAGCCGTAGTACACTCGTGCGATATACAGGTGGAAAATGAGAAAACAATCATTTGCGGATGCTCTGTTCAAGAACGCGGTGCATATACGAGGAAAAAAACAATTAGCTAAGATCTTTTTCAACAAACATTAGGACAAAAACGCCAAACTATCAGTCGACGCGAAACAATCAACTATCAGAAAATAGGTAAAGATCATCAAACATTGGTTCCAAAAAAACAAAAAACAAATCGTCCAAAATGTCAATCGCGCTCGCTCGCGGCCGAAATCCTCTCACATGTCCCTCCAGGACCTTCGGGGACCTTCGGGGAGACTTTCGGGGACCTTCGGGGAGACCTTCGGGGACCTTCGGGCAGACCTTCGGGGACCTTCGGGGCGGCCTTCAGCGCTGATTTCGGTATTTGCTAAACATATCAAGCGAATTTAATGACTTTTGGGTTTTTTTTTCTGGGATTTTGGTACGTTGTTGCATTTGTTGGGGACCGACTGATATTTAAGAACTTTTTGGTGTATGTTATGATGTGTTCAAAAGTTTGTTACCTCGGTTGCTCCGGGCGATGCCCTACGGATTTCTTGATTTTTCCACGTTCATTTAGAAGAAATGGAGCGGCCTGTGTGATACATGCTGGGAATGTTCGCTCTTGCCATGTACATGGCAATGTTTCGTATGCTCCACATGTTTCGTCATGGGATGTGATGCTTGTCTTGGTTTCTTTCATGTGAACTGCATTTTCCTTATTCGAACTGCATGGTGTCGCTTACATTCACTTCGGCGACAATCAGGTCGGCGCCGTCTTGTCGCCTCAGCGCAAGGAACCAGGTCAGGCTGGGCCTGGAGGGGTCGTTCCTGCTAGACGGCTGGCTGGCTGTCATGGCTGCCGCCGCTCGAGTCTTTTGAATCAGGTTCAACGCGTCCAGGATAAACATTGAACAGGTCACGCCATAATTGTTCTCTTTTCGCCAATCCACACCAGCCCATCCTAAAACGGCCACTTGAACGACGAATGCCGACCATCGGGTCCTGCCGGTAGACCCTTTCCATGCAGACAGGTTCACCGTGGACAGTGTTGGTAATCGTCGGCGTCCTGTCGGAATATATATATATATATGCAGACGGATACGCCGTTTTCGGAAGACACGTCAACGCGTTCCAATGTTTGTTTGAGGTTCGATGTATGCCGTAATCGTTAGAGCAGTAGTGCACTGGGGGCAAGTACAACATAGAAAACGCGATATTCCCTAGTCGGTGGAAATCCTTATGTTTTCCTGGGCGAGGCCCGCGACGGGCCGCAGTAGATGCATGTACTTTCTCGGGGTTTACCTTACCCGCCTTTCATGCATTTTCTATGCGTTTCAACGTGTTCATCTTATCCTCGGATAAGGTAAAGGTTTAGCTTATCCGAGGATCCGCCTTTCTCTCTCGGGCTTCATCTTATCCTCGGATAATGTAAAGGTTTCATTTGTCCTGCCAAAGGTTTACCTTATCCGCCTTTCTTATCCTTTGCCTTCGGCTCTGTCTCTTCACATCTGCCACTCAGTGCCCAAGCTGCTGCTGCTCCACCGATCACCACCATGCAATTTCATCTGAGGGGGGAGGAGGAGGAGTTGGAGAAGGAGGAGGAGGAAGAGGAGGAGGAGGAGGAGGTGGAGGAGGAGGAGGAGAAGGAGGGGGAGGATGAGGAGGAGGAGGAGGAGGAGGAGAAGGCGGAGGAGGAGGGCGAGGAGAAGGAGAAGGAGGAGAAGGAGGAGGAGGAGGACGAGGAGGAGGAGGACGAGGAGGTGCAACAGGAGCAGGAGGAGGAGGAGGAGGACGAGCAGGAGGAGCAGGATGACCAGCAGGAGGAGGAGGAGGAGGGGGAGGATAATGATGATGTTGATGCTGCTGATGATGATGCTGATGCTGATGATGGTGGTGGTGATGATGATGATGCTGTTGTTGATGATGATGATGATGATGATGATGTTGATGATGATAATGACGATGATGATGCTGATGCTGATGTTGATGATAATGATGATGATAATTATGATGCTGATGCTGATGATGCTGCTGATGATGATTGCGATGATGAGTATGATGCTGATTATGGTTAGTATGATGATGATGATGATGGTGGTGGTGGTGATGATGATACTGATGATGTTGATGATGATGATGATGATGATGATGATGATGATGATGATGATGATGATTATGATGATGATGATGATGATGATGATGATGATGAGGAGAAGGAGGAGGAGGAGGAGGAGGAGGAGGAGGAGGGTGAGGGTGAGGATGAGGATGCGGCGGAGGAGGAGGAGGAGGAGGAGGAGGAGGAGGAGGAGGAGTAAGAGGAGGAGGAGGAGGAGGCGAAGGAGGGGAGGAGGAGGTGGGAGGAGGAGGGAGGCGGGGGAGGAGGGGGAGGAGGAGGGAGGAGGAGGAGGAGGAGGAGGAGGGAGGAGGAGAGGGAGGAGGAGGAGAGGAGAGGAGGAGGAGGAGGAGGAGGAGGAGGAGGAGGATGGGGAGGAGGAGGAGGAGGAGGAGGAGGAGGAGGGAGGAGGAGGAGAGCAGGAGGAGGAGAAGGACGAGAGGAGGAGGAGGAGGAGGAGGAGGAGGAGGAGGAGGACGACGACGAGGACGAGGAAGAGGAGGATGAGGACGAAGAGGAGGAGGGTGAGGAGGAGGATGAGGAGGAGGAGGAGGAGCAGCAGGAGGAGGAGGAGAATGATGATGATGCTGATGATGATGATGAGGAGGAGGAGGAGGAGGAGGAGGAGGAGGAGGATGAGGAGGAGGAGGAGGCGGAGGAGCAGGAGGAGCAGTAGGAGCTGGAGGTGGAGGAGGAAGAGGAGGAGACGAAGAAGAATGAGGAGGAGGAGGAGGAGGAGGAGGACGACGAGCCAGGAAACAGGAGGACAGAAGAGGAACAGGAGGAGGAGGGAGGAATGAAGGAGGAGGATGAGAGGAGGAGGAGGACGAGGAACGAGGACGCGGAGGACGCGGAGGGACGAGGAGGACGACGAACAGGAGGGGAAGGAAGAAGAGATGGAGCAGGAGGAAAGGGGAGGAGGAGGAGGAGGG